TCCGACTTCGGCTCAGGTCATGATCTCGCAGTCCGTGAGTTCCAGCCCCGTGTCAGGCCTATGCTGACAGCTCAAAGCCTGGAGCCTTCTTCTGATTTTGTGTCTCCCTCTCTCTGCCCCTCCCCTGCTCGTGCTCTCAACTCTCTCTCTCAAATAAACGTTAAAAAAAATTTTTTTTAGTAACAAATTTAAAAATCTCAGTAAAATAGGAACAGAGGGAGTTTCTTCAACTTAATAAAGATCATATATGAAAAACCCACAGCTAATATCATGCATAATGGTGAAAAGACTGAAGGAACAAGTAACCCCTCTTCTACTCAACTTTATACCAGAAGATATAGCCAGTGCAATTAGACAAGAAAAACAAGTAATTATCAGGCATAAAGATCAGAAAGAAAGAAGTAAAACTGTCTTTATTAACAAATGACATGACAGTCTATGTATAAAATCCAATGGAAGCTACAAAAAGCTACTAGAATACATTTAGCAAGGTGGTACGATTCAAGATTAATATACAAAAATCAATTGGGTTTATATATATATATATAATGGTAAGTGAAAAAAGCCATTCACCAAGGGACAAATACTGCATGATTCTACTCCTATGAGGTATTTAGAATAGCCAAATTCATATAAAGTAGAATGTGGTTCCAAGGACTAGGGTGGAGAGGGTATGGAGAGCTATTGTTTAATAGGTACAGAGTTTTAATTTTGCAAGATTAAAAAGTTCTGGAGATGAATGGTGGTGATAGTTGCAATGTAAATGTACCTAACACTACTGAACCATACCCTGAAAGATGGTTAAGATGGTAAATTTTATGTTATATATATTTTACCAAAATTAAGATAAAAAAGTAAGAAAGCCAAATACCATTTACATAGCATCAAAAAAAATACATAATACTTAAGTATATATCTGACAAAACACATGAAAAATCTGTATACTTAAACTAGAAAACACTGGTAAAATTCTTAAAAGTCCATATACAGACATATATATTGTTTATGGGTCAGAAGGTTTAATATTGCTAAGATAATGGACATTTCCCCCAAAATGATCTACAGATTCAATGTAATCCCAATCAAAATCCCAGGAGGCTTCCTTATAGAAATTATCCCCAAATTGATTCTAAAATGCATGTGGAAGTGCAAAGAAGCTGGAAAAACTAAAGCAATTTTGAAAAGAACAACGTTCAAGGTTTTACCCTGATTTCAAGACTTACTATAAATCTACAATAATCAAGACAGTGTGGTATTAGGATAAAGATAGACAAAATGACCAATGAAGCAAGAGAGCCCAGATTGTATCTACACATATACAGACAACTGATTTTTTTACAAAGGTGCAAAGGCAATTCCATGGAAGGACACGTTTTTTTCAACAAATGGTGCTGGAATAGTTGGATCTCCACAAGCAAAAAAGCTGAACTTCAATTCATTCCTTGCACCATACACAAGAATTAACCCAAAATGGATCATTAAACCTAAATGTAAAACCTAAATGTAAAACCTAGAAATCATTTCTAGAAGGAGGAAGGCGGTAGAGCATGAGACTCTTGATCTCAGGGTTGTGAGTTCGCACCCCACATTGCACACAGAGATTACTTAAAAATAAAATTGTTTTAAGAATTAATAAATAAAATGTCTAGAAGAAAAATAGGAGAAAACCATTGTGCTTTGGGTTAGGCAAAGATTTCTTAGACGTGACACCAAAAGCATAAACCACCAAAAAAAAAGTTGTTAAACTGGAGTTCATTAAAATTTTAAATTTCTGCTCATCAAAAAAGGCACCGTAAGGAAAATTAAAATGTAAGCCAAAGATGGAAGGAAATATTTGCAAATCAAACATATCCAATCCCAACATATTCAATAAAGGATCTGTATGCAGAATATATAAAGAACTCATAAAACTCAATATAAAAAAAAAAAACCTCACAATTAAAAATGGGTAAACAATTTGAACAGACATATCACCAGATATACACATGGCAAATAAGTACATGAAAAGATGCTTAGTAACATTAGTCATTAGGGAAATGTAAATTAAAATCAAGGAGATAATCACTGCAGACCTATTCGAAGGTCTAAAATTAAAGAAACTGGGGCACATGGGTGGCTCAGTCGGTTGAGCATCTGACTTCAGCTCAGGTCACAGTCTCAAGGTTCATGAGTTCGAGCCCAGCATCAGGCTTGCTACTTTCAGGGCAGAGCCCACTTTGAATCCTCTGTCCGCCTCTCTTTCTCTGCTCCTCCCCGGCTCGCTCTCTGTGTCTGTCTCTCTCTCTCTCTCAAAAATGAATAAACATTAAAAAAAAATAAAAGCTAAATTAAATTAAAGAGACTGACCATACCAAGTGCTGACAAAGAGGTGGAAGAATTTGAACTTTCATATACAACTAGTAGGTATGTAAAAAAGTTTTTTTAATGTTTATTTTTGAGAGAGAGAGACAGAGACAGAGACAGAGACAGAGTGTGAGCGGGGTTGGGGCAGAGAGAGAGGGAGACACGTAATCTGAAGCAGGCTCCAAGGTCTGAGCTGTCAGCACAGAGCCCAATGTGGGGCTCCAACTCACTAACTGCGAGATCATGACCTGAGCTGAAGTCAGAAGCTTAACTGACTGAGCCACCCAGGCGCCCTACAACTAGTAGGTATGTAATATAAGACAACCACTTTGGAAAAAAGTCTGGCAATTTTCTTAAAACTTAAATGTATACCAACCATATGATTCACAATTCCAGTCCTAAGGATTTATCCAAGAGAAATAAAATAGTATGTCCATAGAAAAACTTATACAAATGTTCACAGTAGTTTTATTTGTAATAACCAAAAACTAAAAACAACCCATCATCAGGTGAATGGATAAACTGTGGCATATATGTGTAATGGAATGCTACTCAGCAATAAAAAATGAGCTACTGAAGCTTACACAACATGCATGAATCTCAAAATAATTATGTTGAAAAAAAAAAAAAAAAAGCCAGGCAAAAAAGGACACATGCTGTCTGATTTCATTTCCATAAAATTCCAGGTAATGTGAACTAATGTATGGTGACAGAAAGCAGACCAGTCTGTTGCCTGGGGAAACGGCATGGCAAAGGAGGGGCGGGAAGAAGGAATTAGGAAGGGGCACAAAGAACTATGGGGGTTGGTTGGGAATAATAGGTATGTTCATTATCTTTATTGTGATGGTGGTTTTACAGATATATTCATACATTAAAACCTACTGTTTTAAATATGTTCCATTCATTGTATATCATTACACCTCAAGAAAGCCACTATTAAAAACAAAAAGAATAACCACTTCCTTCTCCAGAATAAAGCACAGGACAAGGGATAATCGTGAATTTAGGGACCGGAGGAAAAGGTCTGGGAGCACAGACACCTCCTCCCCAACATCTGCCAGCAGGGGTCCCGGGAAAGTGGGCACCAAACTGCCAAAAAGCGGACTGAGCCCTCTGCTCTCAGGACAGTGTAAGGAAAACCATGGCCCACTGCACAGAAACTGAAGCCCAGAGACGTTATCTTGCCCCAGGAGGTTACACAGGTAGTAGATGGTCTAAACCCAGAACTGTCAAAGTGCTTCTCTTCATCTACCACAAATTCAAAAAAGTTGACCTGAAACAGGATAAAGGTATATGCTTATGTCTATGTGTTTAGAACAGACAAATATCTCCATTGGCTCCAGAGAGCCAGAACCAGTTTGGACACCCCAGAAGAGCCAGGCACCGTGGACACAGCAGCTGAACTTCCGGTGCATGAGTGTTTGGGGTAGCAGTGTGACAGGCAGGTGTGGGACGAAGCTGACAGTCGGTTTGGGGTTTGCATGAGGAGCAGACTAACCGGCTCCTCCAGCATAGTCCCAGGAGCTGCCTGCCTATGGCTCTGCTGCCCCAGCCACCACCACCACTCCCCCTGTCCAGACTAGAGAGGACTATCTCCACCCACTCTGGTTTAGACAAGCGGCTGGGGCCACCTGACTCAGACATAGGACCCAGCTAAGGCAAGCAGCAACTCTGCACCCACCCCAACCTGAGGGCCATAGGAGCAGGAACTTATAAGTGCCAAGTAAGAGGTGAACAACCCTAGGAGGATGAGGCCCATAAACTGGCCAACCAACCCCCTATGGGCCAGGAATGAGTAGGCCTGGCACTTGGGCCACCGGGGAGTCAACAGGAAGCCAAATCTAGTCCCCACCCTGTAAGCCCCACCTCTAGGCTGCGACAGGAGCTGGCCTTGGCTGGTACAGAACCTATGATGACACAGCTGTCCACCTCCATGGGGTGGGGCTGAGCTCTGGGCCACAGAGAATGCCCAGAGTCCAGTAGTACAAACACCCTCTCCTCAAAGTGTCCCTTTCAAATTAGAGGCCTAGAGCCCACACCCAGACAGAAGGCCTCACCAGTAGTTCTCTGCCCTGCTACCCCTATTCATCCTTGGCTCTGAGCCCTCGATTATTAATCAGCTGTGACAAGAAGGTGTGGCGGGAGCAGGTCAGGCTCGTGCTCAAGTCACTGGCAGCCACACGCACATCACATGGCTAACAGGGTTACTAGATAAAGTCCAGTTAATGCAATGCTGCCCCTTCCCTTTTTTGGAATCTGTTTTGAGGACCTGAGAAAACCTGTGCTGACTGCACCATCCCAGCCCTGGCAAGGAGGCACTCCTATCTCCAGGGACAGACTGATGGAGGGGTGACTACCTCCTCCGCAACCTTGGCCTAGGGCTACCCCTCTCTGCCTTCTGCCCAGGCCTGGTAGCCTCGCAGTCTCACCTCCAGTCTAGACTCTAAGGAAATGCCCCATCACTCTAGTTGGCATTTTTAGTACTGGGGGGAGGGGTCCTGCCTCGCTGTTGAAATTGCACTGCTTCCTTCCTCCCGAGGTTTAAACACAGCAAAGTGAACAAGAGCAGTTTGGAGACCACCCTCTCCTGAAATAACTGCAGCCCCCTGCTTCAAAACACACCAACTCCCGCTGGGAAGGGAATTGGGTTTCCTTACCTGCTGCCTTCGGCTGCCTCCCTGCAGACACAGTTTCGATGATGTCCAGGCTGAGGTGGCAGAAGAGGATCCAGCAGGACACACTGCCCGCTCTGGGGCAGTGGCTTCTAATGCTCCAATCCCCAAACCCCTACATCTTGCGCTCACCACGGCCCTTGAGCGATCCGGGCGCTGGGCAGCCGGCCTGTAGGTTACCACCTCCTCCTCCGCCGGCGCCTCCGGATCCTGTGCCCCTCGGGGGGCCCCTCTCCCTCCTGGGACCCCTTCCCGTCCAGGTATGTCTCCTGAACAGCCCGCACCACCTGTCCTTCCTGCACCCCGGGCAACCAATTTGCTTCTTGCACCCCCAGGCGCCCCTCCCCCTCAGGCCCCTGGGGCCCCACAGGCCTGGCCCTCCCCACCAGCTCGAGTCTCTCGCGGCGTGTCGGGGCCGCTCCCAGGACCACTGCCTCCCGCCTGAGGTGCCCGCAGCTCTCCCAGTGCTGAGCCCCCGGCTCCCCGGAACTTTCGAGCCCCTCCCCGCGCTCCCAGGAACGGTCCCCAAACTCGGAGAGCGGCTCGGGCTGCTGCAGCAGCCTGCGTGGGCTCCCCTCCCCCTGTTCCTGCACCCCGGCGCGGGCCTCCCCACGCTCCTGCACTGCGGGGCTGCCTCCCCCCTTCTCCTGGTACTGCTTGCGGGGCCCCAACCCCTCCTCCTGCACCACAGGCCAGCCCGCCGAGCCCGTCCACGGCGGCGGGCGCCTCCAGTCCGCGCCGTCCGGCGGACCCCACACCACCCCCAGGCTGGGCTCGTGGCCACGGCCGCCCCGCTCCTGCACCCCCGGGCCCACCCCGCCCTCCTCCTGCACGGCCGGACCCACGCCCCCCTGCTCCTCCACGCCGAGCTTCAGCCCGCGGAGCAGCTGCGGGCCCCAGCTGAGAACTCCGACCCGCTGCGGCTGCTGCTCCGGCAGCGCCGGACTGAGTCCGCCGCGCTCCTCCTGCGCTCCCCGCTCGGGGCCCCTCGCCGGCACTGCCCAGCGCACTCGCCTGCCCCCAAGAGGCCGCGCGGTCCCACCCCTCCAGATGGTGCTGCCCTCGGCGCCCGCTTACACCGCCCCCTGCCCCGCTCCCTCCGCCCCGTCCCCCTGGGGAGGGGGCTACAGGCTGGCCTTCCCGCGGGTTCCGCGGCCACCCCCACGTCCCAGGCCCGCCTCCCCGCCCTAGCCTCCCGGCGTCGACGTCCGCCCGCCGGGCGCCGCGCCCAGCGCCGGCCCCCGCAGGTGCTGCGGCCCCGCGCGCCGGCTCGGGAGCCAGGAGCGCCCGCCCTCCCGCCTGAGTTCCTGGAGCCCGCCTGCGCCTGCGCCGCCCCAGGGGGGCGGAGTCCAGCAGGGTTGGCCCGCCCTCTTAAGGAGCCAGGTCCCGCTAGCTCCTCCCCTCTCTCCACTCCTCAGTCCCACTACCCATCCTCCTGCTTTACTCTCCAGAATCTCCCCACCCCAGGCACAGCTTGCGCCTTCCTGTGTGTCTACCGGAGGAGAGACGAAGTCGAAGGTAGGGAGTTACACTGAGACTGTGCAGTTAACTGGGCCCAGTGGAGGAGCACTGAAACAGGAGTCTCGAATTCTCAGTAGCAGCAGTTCAGCAGCTGCTCACTTACCACGTGACAGTGTAAAAAGTCACTTCCATCTGGTCTCAGTTGCTTTGTTTCTAAAATGAGGAGGTTGGATTGGAAAGTTTCCAAGGCCACAATCCAGTGAGTGTTTGCAGAAGTGGACTTGAGTCATAATCTCTCAGCAGCAGCCCAGAGGCCTGGGAACCTGGGCCACCCCCATCCTTTCTCTGGGGCCAAAGGAGGACATTTCAACAAGGGAGAGGTGGTTTCAGACCTATGACACTTTCTGCCGGGAACACAGGCATAAACAGTCCCAGGTAAAGGGGGCCTTCCTCCCTCCTGCACCGCTCTCCTTCTTGGGTGCTTTCCTCCCTGTACCCACAAAGAAGGAGAAAATTCAGAGCTCCTCCTCCCATTGATAGAGCAGCTATCGCACCCAGATCCTAGCTAGTTGGAGGCAGCCTTGAGGCATGGTGCTTAGAACTCACAGGTTTAAGGCCAGTTGACACTGTTACTGACTACCTCATCTATGCAATGGGTACGATAATAAAACAAGTCCAGAGAGAATTGTCCCAAGGATCAGACATCAAAGAACTGTGTAGGATGACTCTGCACCCCTGTTGTCCAGCATTGAGCTCAAGGGCCCTGGCGGGAGGTGGGGGAAGCAGTAGGGCAGATCGGGATGGGTTAGAGACACCTAAGGGGGGGCTGGACTGGGTGGATTTGGGTCTTGGTGTCTTGCCTTGTGAGATAGGCTGGGCATCTTTCCACTAAATCATTTGATAAGCTGTGTGTAACAGCTTACCTTAATCAGGAAGCCAGAGCATGGGGTGAATGCACCCTACCTGGTCCAAGGGAGGGTCTAGGGCAGGCAGGACTCCTGACGCCACCTCTGGGTTCAGCCAAGTTCCCCCTTGCTGCCTGATCTCAGAGGAAGAAGTCAGGGAGAAGGAATCTGAGGGGAGTCCTCTCCCAAGCTCCTTTACACTACATCGGTAATGACAATTGCTAAGGTTTATGGAGACTTCCTATGGGTAAGGCCCTGCATTTGGCATGTATTCTCATCTACCGGCCACCACAATCAAATGATGTTACATATTACCATCCTCATTTTAAAGATGGACTTTACATTGTTAAGTAACTTGCTCCAGGTCATACAGCTGGTGGCATTAAAACCAGGATTCAGATCCAGTTTTTGACTCCAAAGTCTGCCCTATACCACTGATATCAGCACAACAAAGCAATGCCAAACCCAGGAGCCTCACTTTAGGATGTATAAAGTCTGACTAAATTTGGGAGTCAATAGATGCAAACAACTGATTTGGAGCAAGCTTTCTGCCTGTGAATCAAGCTCCACATCAAAGCAAAGAATCAAAGCACTTGTATCCTGGTCAGTCCTGCTAGGTGATTTTCTTAAGGGAGCCCAAGTCCCCATTCTTCCACCTCCCCTCCACCTGCCCACAAGAGCCAGATCCATCCTTCTTACATGCTTAGTGCAAGGTTATCTGGAGCTTTAGTTTCACCGAAAAGCTTCCTCCATCCTTTTTAGTCCCAACTCTTGGACTCTCTCCACCACCACGCTGAGCACCAGGGGCTATGCTGAGAGAGGTCCCTGAGGCTGTCTGTCTCCCCTGCATTGTTCTGTGAGTCCAGTACCATCGCCTAGAGACACCTAGGAAGACGGCTCTGCCCTCAGGGAGCTGACAGCATATTAGAGGAAATGAGACACAGTCTAGAAGCATAAGGCTCAGGAGCTTAAAGGTGGCTGTGGGGATAAACCCCAACCCTTTAACGTGCCTGTACCAGTCTCTTCCCAGATCTGGAACTTGAGGAAGGTTGCCCACAGCAGAGTGACTGCAGGGAGAAGGGCTTGTCAGGTCTAGTTCTAAATGGAGGTGAACCAAGCTGCTTGAGGGAGGTTTGTGGGGTGCCCTTAAGAATCCCCACCTCGAGATGACTGCACTGCAGGGTATACAGGAGGACAAGGAAGGTGGTGACGGGGCAGCCTGGCTCATACCAGCAAGCAAGTGCTCAGCGAAGAGTGGTGAATGTTGCTGAGTGATTGGGCTGAAGGGTTTTTGTTCTGTTTTTTTGTTTTTGTTTTTGTTTTTGTTTTTTTTTATAGAGCAATGTTTTTTTAAACTACTGTTGCAACCTATGCATAGGAGGTGAACTGAATTCAGTAGGTTTTAACTGGCTTTTTTTTAGTGGAAGAGGGCAATAATGCAATAGAAAATATGAGAATGTAATTTTTTTGAACTTTTGATTAAAGTATGACATACATCCAGAGAAGTGCAAACACGTGCACATTTTACAAAGTGAAGGTACCTAGCACCCAGATCAGAAAACAGGACGTAACCAGCATCTAGAAGCACTTCCAAATTTAATTTTTATTTTATTTATTTTTTAAAAAAACAAAACAGACGATATTCTTTTATTAAAATACAGTAAAATTAGAAAATAGGAAAAAAATCAGGAACCAAAGTTTCTTCTACCTAGAAATGTAAAGTTTATTAAACAGTTTTTGTGTCAAAGAGAAAATACCAACAGAATTTTTTCCATATTTTATTAAAATTATTTTTATTTTATTTTATTTTATTTTATTTTATTTTATTTTATTTTTCATCATGAGTGTACTCTTTAATCCCCATCCCCTATTTCTCCCATCTCCCTACATCCCCTCTGGTAACCATCTGTTTATTCTCTATAGTTAAGAGTCTGTTTCTTGGTTTGTCTCTCTCTTTTTTTTTTTTTTTCCTTTGCTTGTTTGTTTTGTTTCTTAAATTCCACATATGAGTGAGGTCATTTAGTATTCATCTTTCTCTGAATGACTTATTTTGCTTAGCATTATACTCTCTAGCCCTATCCATATTGGTTTTTATTTTATTTTATTTTTTATTTTTTTTTAATTTACATTCAAATTAGTTAGCGTATAGTGAAACAATGATTTCAGGAGTAGATTCCTTAGTGCCTCTTACCCATTTAGCCCATCCCCCCTCCCACAACCCCTCCAGTAACCCTCAGTTTGTTCTCCATATTTAAGAGTCTCTTATGGTTTGTCCCCGTCCCTGTTTTTATATTGTTTTTGTTTCCCTTCCCTTATGTTCATCTGTTTTGTCTCTTAAAGTCCTCATATGAGTGAAGTCATATGATTTTTGTCTCTGACTAATTTGACTTAGCATAATACCCTCCAGTTCCATCCACGTAGTTGCAAATGGCAAGATTTCATTCTTTTTGATTGCCGAGTATATATATATATCTCCATCGTATATATATATAGCACATCTTCTTTATCCATTCATCCATCGATGGACATGTGGGCTCTTTCCATACTTTGGCTATTGTTGATAGTGCTGCTATAAACATGGGGGTGCATGTGTCCCTTCAAAACAGCACACCTGTATCCCGTGGATAAATGCCTAGTAGTGCAATTGCTGGGTCATAGGGTATTTCCATTTTTAGTTTTTTGAGGAACCTCCATACTGTTTTCCAGAGTGGCTGCACCAGCTTGCATTTCCACAAATTTAATTTTTAAATAACTGTTATATTAATCTAGCATACCCTTCATATTCATGACTTCTTAACTTTCTGACAACCCTCCTCCCCGCTCTCAACACACAGAATGTAAACTCCACAAGGACAGAGGTTTTTGTCTGCGAGCAGATTGGCACAGACACCTACGACACTGCCTAGTAGGTGCCAGAAATGTATATTGAATGAATGAGAGTGCATCACAGCTAATAAAGGTATTGTGTTTGTGACATTTTTGTTTCATTATACGTGCATATGTGCTCTACTTCTTGATATACAACCTGTTTCTTTCTGTAGGTCACACTCAAAACTTTCTGCTCCCAAAGCCCACTGCTCCAGCTTGAGAAAGTTGTGGAGGCTCCGATTCAGGCCAGGTAATGAGCATGGGTGAAGCAGAACAATATACTGATTATATCAGTGCTTCTCAAACTCCAGTGTGCAATTGAATGAGCTGGGGATCTTCTTGAAATGTAGATTCTGATTCAGCAGGTTTGGAAGGGGATGCTAAGACCCTACATTCCTATCAAGCTTCTACACTTTGAGCAGCAAGCCCTTGGACCCAGAGAGTCTCAATTACGCTGCACACAAGAATCACATGAGAAGCTTTTAAAAACAGTGATGCCCAGGCCCCACCCCAGAATAATTAAATTGGAAACAAACCAATTTGCAAAC